GGAATCCAGTCCCCAGCCCACCTCTTCCTAACCATTGTCCACTCAGGCAGGAGGTTCCAGGGAAGATGGGATAGGACCCCCCACACCTCCCCAAGAGCTCATCCTTTCCCAGACTCTTTCCCAGAGTTGGACATAATTTCAGAGCCAGCACTTGAATCCAGAGCTCTAGTCCTAGAGGGGTACAGTGGAAGGGTTTTGAAAGTCAGGTAAGAGCTTGCCAGTTAGAGTAGGAATGGAAGCCAGGGCAGTGCTGGCTGTGCTTTGTCATTCAAAAGCCTGGAGATGAGAGAATGCCTGGCCGGTTTGTGTCTAGGGAAATGTAGGATTTGTGTAGAGCCAGCAATCTGAGATTTTTTTAAATTTAATGTTATTTTTATGCTGGCGCAGCACTCCGTCCCTGAGCTTTTGTGCTCAAGGCTAATGCCATAGCCATAGCTCCACTTCTGGCTTTTCAGTAGCTGATTGCAGATAAGAATCTCAATCCTTCTGGCAGGGCTGCCTTCTAAACCAGACCTCAGATCTCAGCCTCCTGCATAGCTAGGATTACAGGCATGCGCCATGGGTGCCCTGGTTGCCTTCACCCCCAACCCCCCCTACACACCGCTGGGGATGGAGCGCTGCCACACACTCTCAAACAACCCATCAGGTGCTGCACTGGCAGTTGGGGCCCCAGGCACAGTCTGTAGCCCCATCCTGCGGGACAGGCAAAGGCCGGAGGAGGGGCTGGGGCAGGTAGAAGAGCTAGAGGGCATGGGGACACACTGGGCTCAGTGTGGTCAGGCGTGGGGGGGACACAGAGTCCTGAAGGTGCCCACTTGGTGTCCAGCACTGTGGAGGCCAGAACACTGCAGGAGGGGGAGGGGTGGCCAGGTCAGCTAGGCTGTGACAATATCCTGAGGCCTCTTGAAAAGACCCCACTGGGACTTGAACAAGGGTATTTCTCCTGCTGGCGAGCCCCTGAGCATCTGCAGCACCCAAAAGGCACAGAGGGACAGGAGCTCCCCTAGAGGACCAGAACCAGCATCTCCTGGAGCCCTGCCAGCCCCTTTCTCCCCCTGTGCTGTTGGGGCTCAGGGGTTGGACTCTGGGGCTCACACTTGCTAAGTCAGTCTGGAGCACCCCGGGGCACCGGTCCCCATCCCGCGTGTATCCATTCCCGCTGCCCATCACCAGGGCCTGCGAGAGCCCAGGCTCCCCACGAGGCTGGGGCAGAGGACGCCACCCCACCAACCACAAGCCCCACGCAGGCGGCTTGCTCTGTCACCCGGGCACCGGCTGATGCTCCTTTGTGGAAATGACACTTGCTTAGAGAAACTGGGTTACATAAAATATCTCTATTTTCCACCAGGCCCTGATAGTGCACACCCGTCATCCCAGCTACTCAGGAGGCCTGTGAACTGAGGGTCATGGTTCAAAACCAGCTTGGGTGGAACATCCATGAGACTATCGCCAATGAGCCACCAAAAAACCAGGAGTGGAGCTGTGGCTCAAGTGGTGGCGTCCCAGCCTTGAGCTAAAAGAAGCCCAGGGACAGCGCCCAGGATGAGTTCAAGCCCCAGGACTGCCACAGTGCGGGAAAGAAAAGCCGTAGGAGCCTGCAGACTAAGCTTTACGGTAGCACCCATCTTTGCCCAGGGGACACGAAACTTCATCCTAGCTGCAGCTGTGTGCCACGCAGGCAAATCTCTGTGCCTCCTGGGAGCTCAGGGGTCCTGCTGCTAGAGGTTTTCTCCTAGTTGCCATTGCTTCATTGATCTGAGGCCTGGGGAGCACAGTCAGCTGGGGTGAGGCCTGCCTGGCAGTCTTTCCACCCATACGTCCACCGCTGCGTTCACCTACGTGTGCATGCATCCATGCGTCCACCTGCCTCCTCCCTCCCTGCTGGGCATCTCAGAACACCTGCATGGCGGGCTGCATTCCACCTTTGCCACTCCACGTGGGGGCTGCACCTGTGGACTTGTCTATGGGGCAAGCAGATGAAAACTCGCAGGGAACTTGAGTGACAGAAGCGGGGCGGGGCTGGCGGTGACCTTTTTGGGAGACTTTCAGGAGATAGGCCGTGTGTGGGGGACAGTCGCTTCCAGCTTGTCTCCTGGGCTTGCGGGCCAGGGCTCTCAGGTTAACACAGACTCAAGCAGTGGCCATCAAGATGGCGGTGAGGCCCCTCACCCTTCCTAGGGGACAAGTCCTCCCTAGTGACCCAGCGGACAAAAGGCCAAGGTCATGTCCCACTCATGGCGACCCCACAATATTTTTTTCTCTAGAAGAGGAACGAGAGTACCATGATCGGAGGATCATGGTTCAAAGCGAGTCTGGGCAGGAAAATCTGTGGGACTCTTGTCTCCAGTTAACCCCAAAAAACCAAAGTGGAAGTGGGAGCTGTGGCTCCAAGTGGCAGGGCAGACATTCCATAAGCTCAGCTGTGACTCAGGGAGGATGGGAGACATCTTGTTTGTTTTTTGTTTTTGCTGGTTGTGGGGCCTGAACTCTGGGCCTATGCGCTGTCCCTCAGCTCTTCAGCTCAAGGCTAGGTCTCTTATCACTTGGGCCACAGTGCCAC